GCATGTGTTTAGAAGTCAGGTTAACTACAATGGTAATGTCACAAGTGGAATATAGAAAATTTGGCCATATGAAAGACATTGCGCAATGGCTCACAGCTATCCAGTACCCCAGAGAGAGAGTAAAACAACAAACATTAATGTACTGAGTTTATCACTTGACTGCATATGAAAATATAATGCAGTCATATTAAAAAAAATTGTGTGACAGGTATTTTTAAAATAATGACAGAATTTTAAAAAAGCATTCATTCACAACCTTTAAAACACAAATACGGATGGACCATACACTACTTACTAGTGTTCTACAAATCTATGGCAATTTGGCAAATAGCATATATATATGCACCTTTTCCACTAGCTTTTATAAATATAAATCTGTTTATCATTTCAACAATTCACAATTTTCTGAGTATGCCACGTTGATCTTTTCATACTAGATTAAAATGTGCAATAAAGAAAAAGAAATGGGCAACTAACTTAAAACTATGTCAGAAACATATGGTGTATTGTTTGTTTGTATTGGAGGGGAAAGAGTTGAATTTCAGCCTTTAACTGATGCGTAAATGATCAATCCAACAATGACTGCTGCGACTACCAGAATCCCAATGATAATACAAATCTTCTTCCGCGATTTTCTCTGCAAGGGAAGGAGAGCATTGACATTGAGTCTGAAGGTTAGCATGGAGAATTTTTGACAAGACTACATATTAAAGGTTTGAACTTTCAATTTTTCAGCACATTTCTGAGAGAGACACCTTAAAACCTCTGTAAGTGGGGTAGTCTTGGTTACCTTTCAGACTAATGAGAACTTTGTCATTGGTCTTATGTTGTAATGAATGGTACACATATCCATCTTGAGCTGCTATTTTGTTAAACCAACACATTTGAACCTGGAGGAGTTCAATGAATTCAATGGCTTCGAGCCACTCACAAAATCATGGGTAAATTACCTGATACTCTGCAGCGCTTGCTAACTGATGGGTAGCAGACTGCACATGGACATCAGCATTTTCAACATTGGCCTCTATGCTGTCTGGAGACAAAGATGTTGACAACTGAAAGACCAATACAAAATGATCTGGAGCAAGTTTCCCAATAATGTTGTATTTACAATTACCAAGTACACATAACAAGGTTCTTAAGCATCAAACAATCTCTCTTCACATGGATTTCCCAAAACTTTCCATCAGTGTATTCCTGACTAAAAAAATAGGACCATGGGTTCTGTGTATGGAGTTAAATTATGGCCAAAACCTAATATACAAACAGAACATGTTTTACAAATGCACTACGATTCACTAACAAACACAATGTGATATGCAAATACAAGACTGAATCACGGGCAAACAAAGTGTGGTTTGAAAATATAAAAATGACTCACGTACAAAGTGTGATTTGCAAATTCAAAAACAATTTGCAAACAAATACAGCGTGGTTTTCAAATACAAAAATAATTCATGTACAAAGTGTGGTTTGCAAATACAAAACACGATTAACAAACTAATATATTCTGTTTTACAAATAATAAATGTACCAATCACAAATACATGGCACTTCAGTTTGTACGAGAAAATATTTCCTACAAGTACAAAAAAAATCATGTGACTTTTGGCACGTTTCTATTGGTGATATGGTGGTGCCGATTTTCTCACAAAAGTCCGATAATTGTCGTACAACTGAAGAATTGGAATGCAAAGCCCACAAAGTCCACTCAACCGCTTTTGTTTCAAATTGAGCTTTTTAAAGCTCAATTTAAAACAAAAGAGGTTGAGTGGACTTTGTGGGTTTTGCATCTCAACTCTTCATATGTCCTAGCTAAATTATTCTCTGTGCTCAACAGCAGGTGGTGCTATGAGTCCATTTCCTAGATCTCTAAATGGCACAACACCAGACAATGGGTTAATATCCTACCAGACACAGTACAGAAATCAAAGATTTTTAAGGCAAAGGGGGGGCATATGTTATCGTCCCTGCTCTGCTTGCATTTGAGGCTCATTTGCAGGTGCCTAGTGGGCAGAGCCTGGGCTCATTGGTACAATGGAGAGCATCTGTGGCTCCTTCGCTGAGCAAATAAAAAGCCCATTTGCCATGTTGGGGAGGTCTCTCTCCCTTATGACTTTTGTTGCCTTTTGGTTGGACTGCATACAACACTGCTTCACTACTCTTTCCACACATCCACTCACTTACATTACTGATGATACTGACTTTCACACCCCAGATTTGCAGTGTTTTTGTTAAGTTCGATTTTGTGAAAAAAATTTAATTTTACCTTTTAAATGCATCGGTGTGCAAAAGGTAAAATTCAATTTATTGCACAAAATCGAGCTTAACAAAAAGACCATGCAAATATGGGGTGTTAAATTCCGTATCATCAGTAATGTAAGTGAGTGGATGTGTGCAAAGAGTGGTGAATAGGGCTGCTCAATTAATCAAATCGCGATTACTTTAAGCGCAATAAAAGTAACTGCCACTATGAGGCAGGCAGACGAGCTTGTTACCTTTTCTATGACACATACCTGATGCAGTCATTTGAAATGCTTCCGGGAAGAAAACTGTGATTTGAAGTCCGCTAATTACCAGCGAGGTTGGACAGCCTCCATCGCCTTGGCATAATTAGCTTACCTTAAACTAATTCCCGTGTACTTTGCCTAACTTGCAATCAAGCCATTTATTTAGCCAACTGACCAATCAAAACCAAAATGTGGCCTATAATGATTAAGAAGAGATAATGAGAATCAGACAGACCTAACCAGGCTACCGAGTTAGATTGAATGTTAATAATCTGAATTAACAGCACACCTCTGAATTCCACCTCTTGTATTATTTTTACATATCACTAAAAAGATTTCTTAAAAATAAAATCATTTTAAGATGGTCCTGGTTTTTAAGCGTTTCAAAACATACGCGAAGTAGAAAACATTTTGTGAAGCATATCAAATGTGAAGTGAGAGAAATGATTGTCGCATTGTACACAATAGATAAATTCAGCGAAGACTTGGCAAACACATTCAGGTAAGTTACATGCTGAACAACACCAAGTTAAGGTCTGCAAAGTCATCATCCTCTACCCGACAATTGCTGTCACCCCCTACTACTTCACGTAGCCTATATTTTTAAGCAGTGGCGGGCGGTGGACAGAGAACAAGGAGGGCAATAAACATGTCTTCAAACTGCTTATTAGTCCTGATCTGTTTTCAGTCAATTTCCCTGGTAAAGACACTGTAACTCTCCCCTCTCAGGTGTAGCTAATTGTCTTCGTTAAGACGAAATCAAATGCATCAGTTGAACGCAAAAAAGAGCGCATTTCAGTCTTTTTCAATTAAACAATCATTACGCACAGGTCTGACGACTTACTTAGGATGTGACAAAATTTTACACGGAAAATCCACAGTGGTTTTTTCGTGAAGAGTTGCCTATTAAGGCATGTGAATTAAACATTTTATAGAATTTATTATTCACTCGCCTAAACATTTCATTATAAGGGAAACTAACATGTTGACCAAGAACAATGATGAAATTGGGTCACTAATCTCATCCGTTTCAAGGGATGTTTTCCGTCCCCTCGGTTTTCCATCCACCGCCCGCCACTGTTTTTAAGCGCTTAAAACCAGGGCCATCTTAAAATAATTTCAATAAAAAATATCTTTAATAATACATATAAAATTCCCCGATGAGAGGTGGAATTCAGAGGTCTGCTATTTATTCAGATTATTGACATTCTTTCAATCTAACACGGCAGCCTGGTTAGGTCTCCCTGCTTCTCATTATCTCTTCTTAATCATTATTGGCCACATTTTGGTTTTGAGAGGTCAGTGGGCTGAATAAATGGCTTGATTACAAGTTAGGCAAAGTACACGGGAATTGATTTAAGGTAAGCTAATTAAGCCAAGGGGAGAGTTAGTGTCTTTTACCAGGGAAATTGACTGAAAACAGATCAAGACTAATAAGCAGTTTGAAGACATGTTTATCGCCCTCCTTGTTCTCTGTCCACTGCCCGCCACTGCTTAAAAATATAGGCTACATGAAGTGGAGAACATTTTGTGAAGCCAAATTGCCTAATTGAGTGAATGAACGGTTTGATTGCAAATTGATCAAAGTAATTGGGAAGGGGGTGACAGCAATTGTCGGGTAGAGGATGATGACTTTGCAGACCTTAACTTTGTGTTGTTCAGCACGTAACTTACCTGAATGTGTTTGCCAAGTCTTCGCTGAATTTATCTATCGTGTACAATGCGACAATCATTTCTCTCACTTCACGTTTGATATGCTTCACAAAATGTTTTCCACTTCGCGTATGTTTTGAAACGCTTAAAAACCAGGACCATCTTAAAATGATTTTATTTTTAAGAAATCTTTTTAGTGATATGTAAAAATAATACAAGAGGTGGAATTCAGAGGTGTGCTGTTAATTCAGATTATTAACATTCAATCTAACACGGTACCCTGGTTAGGTCTGTCTGCTTCTCATTATCTCTTCTTAATCATTATAGGCTACATTTTGGTTTTGATTGGTCAGTTGGCTGAATAAATGGCTTGACTGCAAGTTAGGCAAAGTACACGGGAATTAGTTCAAGGTAAGCTAATTATGCCAAGGCGATGGAGGCTGTCCAACCTTGCTGGTAATTAGCAGACTTCAAATCACAGTTTTCTTCCCGGAAGCATTTCAAATGACTGCATTAGGTATGTGTCATAGACAAGGTAATAAGCAAGCTCGTCTGCCTGCCTCATAGTGGCAGTTACTTTTATTGCGCTTAAAATAATCGCGATTTGATTAATTGAGCAGCCCTAGTAGTGAAGCAGTGTTGTATGCAGTCCAACCAAAAAGCAACAAAAGTCATAAGGGGAGAGAGACCTCCCCAACATGGCAAATGGGCTTTTTATTTGCTCAGCAAACGAGCCACAGATGCTCTCCATTGTACCAGTGAGCCCTGGCTCCGCCCGCCAGGCACCTGCAAATGAGCCTCAAATGCAAGCAGCGCAGGAGCCGTAACATGGGGGCTCGTCCGGGAGCTGAACCCGGGAACTCTCGCACCCCAAGCGAGAATCATACCCCTAGACTTTGTCTTTAGTTCTCTAGCTAAAGGTTTACTTTGTTTGCAGATCCAGATTTGTTTCTGTGTCTTGTGTTAGTGGTGATAATCGTGCTTGCATTTAACCTATTACTTGGCTTCCTTAATCTGGCATGGCATGTTGGTTTGTCAGGGGAGCAGGTAATTAGGGAAATGGTTTCTGGTGTGCTGTGGGCATGCTGAAATTCTAGGTGTGTACTGGCTAACTGGAAATAGTTCCTTTGTGGAGATGCACTGTGTATGTCTTGATAAGATTACTTTTTAATGGATTCTTGCTCAAGGACACTTCGACACGTTCTCTGGAGGAGCCGGGGATCGAACTAGGAACCTTCCGTTTCCTAGCCTAGCCACTCTACCTCATGAGCCATGTCGCCCTTTTAGGTTTCGATAGTTTATTTTTCTGTTGTGTTGCGATGAACGTGAATTGTAGCATTTGTCTCGCAGGCACATCCATGGTGTCGGAAGGGTTGCCACTTTGCTGGTTGCTCTTCTGCCCAATGGGTTTCAGTGCATAAGTACCCACCACAAGTAACTGCATGAAGACTAGGGGTGAGTTTTTAGTTATGGGGGGGGGGGCTTCACTTGATGAGGCTAAAACTTTGCCTCTTGCCGCATGCTTATGGTAAATGCTCAATTCCGGTTGGTTCCACAGAGCCAGACAGCGCCTTGGGACTGCTATATAATCCATTTAACAAATTGGTGGAGTAATTCCGAGCGAGTTGTGTTGTCTCAACATTTTAAAGAATGGACAGTTTGATCTGATTTGTCATACTTCTGTCTTCCCCCCCCCCCCCTCCTTTTGGCTGTTTTGCATTCAGGAACCGGTAGCTGAGCTAGCATGAGGAGCCAGATGAGCAGGACCCTTGGATTGTGTGCATGAATGTATACATGAATCCCTTCGGGACCATGTTTTTATGGGGGGAGGAGTTACGGCCCCTGCTCCGCTTGCATTTGAGGCTCATTTGCAGGTGCCTGGTGGGCGGAGCCAGGGCTCATTGGTACCAAGAAGAGCACCTGCGGCTCCTTCGCTGAGCAAATAAAAAGCCCATTTGCCATGTTGGGTAGGTCTCTCTCCCTTATGACCTTTGTTGCTTTTTGGTTGGACTGCATACAACACTGCTTCACTACTCTTTCCACACATCCACTCACTTACTGATGATACTGACCTTCGCATGTCATAAAACCTTCTATATTCAACAGCTTGAATAAAATAGTTTACTTCACGGCGCCAACTTCATATTTGGTACATATATCAATTAGACCTTGCTCTTTTCACTGATCTAATTTGTTTTCTGGTAGACCTTGTCAGATTTTTGCTATAAGCATTCAAAATACAGACGCGACAAGCTTTTTTCCCTTTTTAGGGGCCTATACATGAGAAAGTATAATTTTTGTTACAGATATAACATGTTTTCCTGATAGTACTATAAATGTCTCATATATTAAAAAGAATCAGACATCTGGTGTCATTAAATCTGGAGATACAGAGGGCCAAAAGTGCAACCATGGATGAAGGCGCATTCCAGGAAGCCATATTTGGCATGCCATAAATCTGCAAATATGTCACATACAAAGCTCTCCTTCTGTGTACAGAGCCTTCTTATATCAAAGAATCATGTGTGAAAATTTGAACCATTTAGTGTGAACAGTTCAAAAGTTATTAGCCTCAAACTATGGATGTTTGATTGTAGTACTCGTTTTTATGCTAAATATGGGGCCACGCCCCCTTTTTGTTAGCTTAATATCTCCAAAACTAGTGGAGATATTGGCCTAAAATTTTGCAAAGTAATTATTAGTAACAAGGGCATCAAAACAAAAAGTTATGAAGCAAAACTAAGAAGGTCAGTCGGGAGCCTTCTGGTGATTTGGCACGGAATTACCCAAAATCTATGCTAAATACAGGCTTCATTTTAAGAACTATAACCCAAAGGTTTCAGGTTATTGCAGGCTGTGATGGTAAGCTTGCATCAAAAGCACATGCGCGTTTGAGTATGCTACCAGAGTGGACAGCTGTTAGCTAGATCTAAAAGGTGTTCTTCACCCTTATCCGGACCATTCGTAATTTAAGAGTGAATTGCATTTTAAAACTTAGGAAGGGCCATTGAGTATTATTTGAAAAGGTCTTTCCAACCGTTTCTGGAAAACCCGCCTCTGTTCATGCAAGCAAGTCACATTACGAGTCCAGGAGAATAACGCCAATAAGATAATAAAATTCTTGGTAAAAAAATTTCAGTGACTCAAAGAATACAAAACTTCTCTTGTTTGATTTCAAACTGCAGAATTCACAACAGGTGATGCCCAAAGCCTTTGATAGATTGACAAGCATCTTTGGGCGAGTTAACTCAACAACCTTACCTGATGTAGTCAGCTGCACATTTGGCCATCATAACAAAAGCTGCACCCGCAGAACATCTCTGCAACATGTAAGTCTACCATATAATTAAAAAACGCAATAACAATTGTTGTAAAGGTGTCACAGAAGCACATATTTAGCTGCAGATATATCATTATCTTCAAGAGGAAGACAATGTAGCAGCATATGTAAATTGCCCCTGCAAAAACTGCCTGAGTGTGTATTGTGTCGCTAAACACGGTAAAAACAGAAATGTAAAGAAAAGTCAAAAGAGGCTGAGAACTTACCAATCATTTCTCCTTGCTCATGGACCATCATTCCCAAGTCTTTGAAAATGTGATTAATATCCATTATGTCAGACTGAAGAAAAGAAAAAAGTTCCTCAGAAAATGTACTTAAGCCAGTTTTTTTTTCAGAAAAATAAACAATTTCACATGTCACTGGGCGATTCCACAGATAAAAACAAGCTGATGACTCAAACTTCAAAATTCATTCAGAAACTCATTGTCTGCATGGTTGTATTTTTGATGAGACCCTGGATGAAGTTGGGTAAAGTTACCACAAATCGGGTGACAGATAAACAGGAAAGCTTGGTTGAAGATGGGTTATTGTGAAATGAACGTATGTATAGTGGACAGGAAAATTAGTGTAAACATGGGCATTAAAGTGCCTTCAACCAAACTGAAATAAATATCTTTTTATTCTCAAAATACGGTTTACACAGGTCAGTTACAAGCAGTCACAATTCCTGTCTTACGACAATGGTTAAAAGAACTGGAATGAGGACTCATGTTCAGACATGTCTGCGCCAAGATAAATTTAGTCCCTTGATTGGAAAGAGCATGGTCATCCAAATATGTTTATGAACTGACAGCCAGCTCAGTAACCAACATCATCACCAGCTTATTTTATTACAACCCCAATTCCAAAAAAGTTGGGATGCCTTGTAAAATGTAAATAAAAACAGAACGCAATGATACTGTAAATCTCATAAACCAATATTTTATTCAAAAAAGAACATAGACAACATATCAGATGTTGAAAGTGGGACAGTTTACCATTTCATAAAAATTATTAGCTCATTCTAAATTTGATGGCAGCAACACATCTCAAAAAAGTTGGGACAGGGCCGTTTTTACCATTGTCTAGCATCTCTTCTTTTAACAACAGTCTGTAAACATCTGGGAAATGAGGAGACCAGTTACTGGCGTTTTGGGAGAGGAATGTTGTCCCACTCGTGTGATGTAGGATTCTAGCTGCAAAACAGTCCCGGGTCTTCTTTGCCGGATTTTCTGTTTAATGATGTGCCAAATGTTTTCCATTAGTGAAAAGTCTGGAATGCAGGCAGGCCATTTCAGCACCCGGACTCATCTACTGTGAAGCCATGCTGTTGTGATGGATGCAGTATGTGATTTAGCATTGTTTTGCTGAAATAACCAAGACATTCCCTGAAAGAGAAGGTGTTTGGATGGGACAATATGTTGTTGTAAAACCTCAATATACTTTTCAGCATTGATGGTGCCTTTCCAGATGTGTAAGCTGCCCACGCCATAGGCACTAATGCAACCCCATACCATCAGAGATGCAGGCTTTTGAACTGTGCACTGATAACAAGCTGGATCCCTCTCCTCTTTAGTCTGCATGACACGACGTCCGTGGTTTCCATAAAGAATGTCAAATTTTGATTCATCTGACTACAGAACAGTTTTCTATTTTGCCTCAGGCCATTTTACATGAGCTTTGGCCCCGAGAAGACGGCGGCGTTTCTGGATCGTGTTCTTAAATGGCTTCTTCTAGCATGATACAGCTTTAACTTGCATTTGTGGATTGCACGGCAGACTGTGTTCAGATAATGATTTCTGGAAATGTTCCTTTGCCCATGCAGTGAATTCCAGTGCAGAACCATGCCTGTTTTTAATGCAGCGCCGCCTGAGGGCCCAAAGGTCATGACCATCCAATATTGACCTTCGGCCTTGTTCCTCATGCGCAGATATTTCTCCAGATTTTCTGATTCTTCTGATGATATCATGCACTGTAGATCATAGGACATTCAAAGTCTTCGCAATTTCACATACAGGAATATTTTTGTATAATTGTTCCACAATTCTAAGACTCAGGTTTTCACAGATTGGTGAACGTTGGCCAGTCTTTACTTCTGAGAGACTCTGCCTCTCTAAAATGCTCTTTTTACACACAGTCATGTAACCGACCTGTTGCCAATTAACCTAACTGGTTGCAAAATGATCCTCCAGCTGTTTTTTAATTAGTACTACTTACTTCTTTAGTTTTTCTTGCCCCTGCCCCAACTTTTTTGAGACATGTTGCTACCATCAAATTCAAAATGAGTAAATATTTTTCATAAAATGTCTCACTTTTAACATCTGATATTTTGTCTATGCTCCATTGTGAATAACATGTGGGTTTATGAGATTTGCAAATCATTGCATTCTGTTTTTCTTTACATTTGACACACCATTCCAACTTTTTTGGAATTGGGGTTGTAAATTTGTCAGACATGGAAAATTTACACACGTTTTAGGTACGGAAGGATATAATGTACATAACGTGGACAAAATGCAACTTCAAAATGCCATGAAAACACAAAACTGGAATGTTTCATCAACCATGTTGCTCTAGTCTTG